CTTCTTCATCAAGCTTGGGGTAGGAGACAACAACCTTCTTTCTTGATGAACCTGATTGAGAGTCATCGACAACCTGAGGTTTCTGCTTACCTACGTGTCTTTTGGCTGCAGGTGGACCTACCTCAATCTTTTCCGAGCCTGGTCCATTTGAAATCGGTTTGCCTTCCTCCTTCTTTAAGGAGCTTGGCTTCTTCTTCTGTACACCTGATGGCACTGAAGAGGCTGACTCAGGGTGAAAAAGATCATCAATGTTTCCACGAAAGGGCTTTGCACGATCAATGTCACTTCTGACAATGTCATCTGGGATCACGTAGTCCTCCTTGATCTTGTAGATGGTCTTGCCCTTCCAGAACTCTTCACTCTGTTCAGAAAACCTCTTCTTCTCAGTGCGCCAGTTGTCCTTGTGAAGAACCTTCTTCTTGCTCTTCTGGAATTCCATGTGGGTTTCTCTCTCATCAAGAAGTTGATCTTTTGGAATTGGAGTTTTCTCTGATCGAGTCATCTCATGTAAGTTCATTCTCTTGTCCTTGTGGTGCCTGATGAGTTCACGACGTAGTGGATCAACCTGCCAGTAGTCACCAGTCACCAAAGCTTCTCCTTCATGATCATCTTGTTTGACAGCAATCTGGCTGTACTCAAAGTGATCGTGTTGTGAATAGAAACTTTTGACTTGTGGGGTCTTGAAATGAACTTGGCTCATGTACCATGCTACATCTTGTAGGTCGAGAATGAGATGAGTACTAATGGCTGTCCTCAAAACCATTTTTCTCATGCCAATACGTGCACAGGACAAATAAGCCTTCTCTGGAGTAAGTTCAAATTGAAATCCAAGGTTTCTCATCTGTGGAAGTGACATCAACAATGGGACATCACCTTCTTCGACAATGTCGAATTCTGTAAACTGAGTGTTCCATCCATGATCATACATGAATATCACGAGCTTCTCAGTACATTTTGATTGTTGTGAGTTTGCAAAGAAGAATCTTGAACTTGTTGGCTGAATTTCATACCAGAGTCCACTGTTGGGATGTGAATCAACATATCTGCAAAATGCTTCAACTGCTCGTCGAGAGCCCATAGCTCTTGTGCATCCAAGATCCAGAATACACACAGTTGGTGGTGCAGAATTCTCTGTGTGAAAAGCTAGTCCATTCTCACATGCCAGATCAGTTTGTACAGTATGAAATGAAAAAGCACTCTGCTGTGATGGTTCCTCTATCTCTGTAGAGCATCCATGTGAAAACAATGATGTGCCTTCTGCCAATGGCTTCCATGAAGCCTCACCTTCTTGAAGACCAACTTGCCTGGGCACTACAGCTGGACGTTGTTGTACACCTTGTCGTAGTGCACCAACTTCTCCAACCAGAACAGGGAATCTCTTCATTTCTCTCCTGTTTTGATGTGCTCTTGCATCACGTTGGTTCTGTCCTCCACGACGAGTACGTCGTTGTTCATCTTGTGCTGCATACGTGGATGTCAAAACATCAACACGTGCTGGCTCTGTCTCTGCAACATCAACACGTGCTGGTTCAGTTGTTCCAAATGAAAAGAAACCATGACCAGAACTTGAAGCTGCAGAAGAATAATGAGCTTGTTGAGTTGGTTGATTCTGTATGGCAGGAGCTGATGTGGTCTGAGGTTGAACATAGTTCGACTTGCCTTTTCCATCTCCTGGCTTTCCTCCTTTTCCATCATCATCCTTGCCTTTCTTGCCTTTCTTTCCTTTTCCTTTTCCTTTTCCTTTCTTCTGGAAGTATCCATACTCATCCATGTAGTACAGATCATCATAGGCCCAATAGCCTTCATTCCAGGTTTGATCATCGGCCCAATAGCCGTCATAGTTTTCATTCCATTCATCTTCTTGCCATTCATCTTCATAACCTTCTTCACTCACCATGTGAGCACGGCCTTTCTTCTTCCTTTTCCTCGGCCTTTTCCTTTTCTTGATTTGAAGAACCTTCGTCCTCCTCTGCCTTTTCCTTTTCCTTTTCTCTTTCCTTTACCTTTGCCTCGTCTGATGTATTTGCCTTGGAACCTTCTCTGATACCATGTGAAGTTGGCGTCATCATAAACCCAGAAAACATCTTCTAAGGCATCCAGGAATCCTTCTGCGCCGTCTTCTTCATCTTCGGCCCAATAGCCGTCGGTTCCTTCTAATTCACCTTCATCCAGTACGAGGAAAGATCTTCTCTGTGCCATGCCAGAGGGTTGCATCAATGGATTGTCAACTGCTGTTTTGGTAGTGCAAAACATTTCCAAAAACAGGTCACGTAGTTCTTGAATACTGTATCGATCGAGGGTTCGTCCACGATGTGTCATGATACTTGTGAGTGTGTTTCTCTGATCTTGACTCAGGTCAGCTAGACTTACAAAAATCAATGCTAGCAAATTTTCACCCAGTGGGAATGCTTGTCGCTGTGCTTCTCTACGATTTTCCTGAAATTGTCTGAATGCCGCTAGTGCCAGTTCATCTGTCCAAGGAACAGCTACATGGGGTGTTCCTGAGGCTGCTGCTACTTCAGCTCTCTCTTGTTGATCTCGTTCATGTTCTTGACGTCGTTGTTGAACAAACAGAATTGCTTCAGGACTAGTCACTGTTACTTCTGGAAGTAAATCCATCCAAGACTCAATAAGTCTATTGCCAGTGAGTTGAAATCTAGTCATCCACTTCTGAAGATCCATGGTTCCTCTGTTGAACTTCATGAACTGCATGAAACGGTATAAGAACACGTTCTGGGCACCTTTGATGAAATGAGGTCGTAGAAATCTTTTGAAATAAGCCACTCCTTCATAGGGATCCCTGAGTAATTCTCTATCCAATAGCCTCTTGTATTGTTGAGCATCTCCTTCCAGTCTGTTGCGCAATGCTGGACCACGTTTCTCTGGTTCTAACTCCGTAATGTCACACCAGTCATCAATTGCATCCTCAAAAGCAAAGAAGCTGGTTCGCCCATCATAGGCTGGAGCAACCTTTGTGGTCATCTGTTGCGTCATATGAATCTGTGTATGCTGGGGTGCTCTTCTCATTGCATAAGAGTCATATTGGTTCCATTCATTTGCATCGACAATGTCGAAGTCATCATCATCATAGCCATGGCTTGCCATTTCTTGGGCTCTACCTGGAGCTCACCCTCAATGAGGGATCACAGCTCCGCTACCACTTGAAGAGGGGCCCTAGCGTCTACTTCAAGATCAGCTAAGGCGTCTTCCCCAATGACAGCACTCTTTTACTCTCAGCCTGTTGCCGGTCAGTGCTTGTCTACAGGGTTACTCTATATACCTCTTGAGCCTTGAAGGGCGCATATAAATGTGCTCAATACTCATGCATGTACCTATGTAGGTATTAGGTCGAAACAAAAACAAGGGCGCAGCGCCTCCCCCCCAAAGCAGATTGGAAACACCTATTTTCACATGCAAGGTGCTGGGTTGAATGTGATACTCAAGTTAAGGTGTATATACTACACGACATGCACCTTGGAAACATCTGGAATGTAGGTTAAGGCACAACGATGCACAATAGTTTCATTTGATGTTATCATCGAGTTGGTTTAAGATCTCTATATATAAGGTATGGTTCAGGGTTGGCTTGGGGTTTGAATATCATCCGGATGATAATGCAAACCTTTTAGATAGATATAGATATAGATTTCAAGATATATAGATATAAAGATACTGTATATAGGAATATAGATATATAGAGATATAGATAGATAGATATATATATAAATACAGATATATTGATATATAGTGGTATATAGATATATACAGATATAAATATAGGTATAAATTTATATATATATAGATATATATATATATATGTAAATATATATATATAGATATATATATATATGCATAGAGATTTATAGAAATATATAGAGATATCAAGATATATATAGATATATAGAGATATAGATATATAGATAGTTGTATGCATATATAGATATATAGATACAGCAATAGATGTAGATATAGATACAGATATAGATAGATATAAATAGATATAGATAGATATAGATAGATATAGATAGATATAGATACGTAGATATAGATAGATATAGATAGATATAGATGGATATAGATGGATATAGATAGATATAGATGGATACAGATAGATATAGATATAGATAGACATAGATAGATATAGATAAAATCAGGTAGATAGGTAGTTTGATAGTTAGATAGATAGATAGATAGACAGATAGATAGTTAGATAGATAGATAGACAGATAGATAGGTAGACAGATAGATAGACAAATAGATAGATAGATGGATGGATAGATAGATAGATGATACTCAAGGTGTATATAATGCACAACATGCACCTGGTGAACATGCTTCACTGATAGATTGATCGATAGATGATAAATGAGCCATAGGAGCGAGGAGCTCTAGGAGCCAGGAGCCATAGAAGCCACCAGGAGCCACCAGGAGCCACCAGGAGCCACCAGGAGCCGCAGAAGCCACCAGGAGCCACCAGGAGCCACAGAAGCCACAGAAGCCACCAGGAGAGGAGGAAAAAAAAAAAAATACCCAAAACAAAAAAAAATAAATTCCCAAATTAAATTACCCTCCCTTGAAAAAGCCGAGTAAACAAAAAAACTGCTGGTTGTGCTGATGTAATGTGGTAGGCTTGACTATGGAAGATGGGGGTGAAACATACTATATATCAAAGTTTCTTGGAGGGTTTGAGTAGTAAACAAGTGCAGAATACAGACACAGAATCGGAAGATCGGATTCTGGAGCTTGTTAAACTCAAGGCCCTGATTTGGGACGGGACGAGCAACCTGTTCAGAAGGCAGAGAGAGGGTTGCAGAATTGCAGAGGTACCTGACTTGCTAAATTGCCTAGGATCTATGGAAGAATCCACTGAGCAATGAGAGATGCCTGTTACTGCCTGTTGATGTTGCTGATTGGTGGCTTATGTGCTATCTAAGTATCTATTCGCTGAGGGAACGATCACCGGCCGTGTTTTTTTTACTCAGCAGCATGTGCAGGAAAAGCGTGTGCAAGACGAACATTCCTTTTTTTTTGGCCACTTTTTGATACTCCTCCAGGAGGAAGAAAGTGAAACTCCGGAAGAGACCGGGAAGCTCCCTGAGAGCCTTAGTGAGGAGTTCTTCTCACTCCCCAGGTTTGAAGGAAGTGCACTGTATCCCTGTGTGGCCTTGTCAAATCACAGCTGTATCCTGGCATATCCTGGCTATGGCGGCTATGGGATGTGCATCCCGCTGAGTTTGTTGACCACCAGGCCCTGTGATTTTTCTGGGTCCTTCAAGTTGTACCGACCTGGTGACCCATCTAAGCAATGCCCAGAAAACGTGTCGCTGGTTGGTGGTTTGGAACATTTGGATTATTTTTCCATATATATTGGGAATAATAATGCCAACTGACTGATATTTTTCGGAGGGGGTGAAACCACCAACCAGGTTGGTTGATGATAAGGTGCTATTCTTATCAATTCTTATGGATTATACCCACTGTTTTCATGGAGATGTGTGATGATTTGACTGGATACACTTACAGCAAGCCCCAAAGAATGCAAGGTTGAGAGTTAACGCAAAGAACAGCTAGTTCGAACTGCTATCTATTGGCTATCTATCAAAAGCTGAAGCAATTTCTATTTCTGTCCAGAAAGGACTGTTGTCTGACATCCTGTGACTAAACATGCCCAGTGCTGAGGCATTCCCAACTTTACCATGCGCTACAGCGACGGAGCTTTTGCTGATATGGTGGCGGTGCGAGACATTCAGGTGCCATGGTGTTTTTTTGTTTGAGTGCCCCCTATTTTAGGGGCCTAAAATAGATTTTTTTTGATAGTTTATGTATGTTTATGTTCTTATGTGTAGTGTTTTGTCTTCTTAAAGATGTTTCTGCTTAGTTTGTTTCATTTTGTTCCTGCTACATTATTATTTGATACTATTTGGTTCTTGTTTCATTTGATTCATTACGGTGCTTGTGAAAAATAGTATAATAGGAGTGGTTGTAGGGCCCAAATCCTTTGTTCTTTATAAATTGTTCTTCCAATGGTGTTTGCACAGCCGCTTGGAAGTAGACCCATGGCAAGCAGCAAACTGAATGTGTGTAACATAAATATTGAGTCCGTCCTAATAGCTGTAACAGTCAAAAAAAGGATTTCTTTCAATTTTGGGCGAACGTTGTTTTGAGTGTTTTCCTTCGTGCACAAAATCGTGCTTTCCGGTGCTTTCCCTCGTTCCAAAAACCTTCGTGCCAAAAATCGTGCTTTTTGGTGCTCTCCTTCGTGCCAAAAATCGTGCTTTTTGGTGCTCTCCTTCGTGCATTGCTCTCCTTTGTCCAAACATCGTGCTCTAGATCGTGCTTTTTGGTGCCCTCGATCGCGCACAAAATCGTGCTTTTTGTTGCTCTCCCTCGTGCCAAAAATCGTGCTTTTTGGTGCTCTCCCCCCTCGTGCCAGAAACGGTGCTCTAGATCGTGCTTTTTGGTGCTTTCCTTCCTGCCAAAAATCGTTACAGCTATTAGGCTTGTGTCAACATATATATATATATATATTGTATGGGTCTATGTGTTAACAATACCTAATGTTTAATAAGATAGCAAAAGTGACTCTCTTCTTTGCTCAGGCAGATCCCCTTATCACATAAGCATAGAGAATTGCCAATGCAGTTGTTTACCTGTATTGATTTGATTGGTGATTGTGTTTACATTCACAACTGAAGTTTGGACATTACAACAGTGCTTGCACTTGTAAAGGATGTATCAAGGGTTGAAACTTAACACCTCACAAGACTCTTTGGGTTTCAACCTATATATAACTTTCCAGTACAAACCAGCGTGATTGAAATTAATCATCACAAACTAATGTATAAATAGAATGTGAGCGTAGATTTCATTGGCTATCTCAATAGAAGAGTGCATCACAAGCTAACGGCAACCATGCAGGGGCATGCAGCACATCAGTCTCACATATAGTGTTCCAACCCAAGTAATGCACATGAAATCATGTACATGGGGTATGTAAGGTCACTTTTGCCCAATCATCACAAAACAAGCGGGCAAAGTCAATCCCAGATGCATGTAGCAAAGATCAGCTTCAACCCAACACATACCAAAACCATTCCATCAACAAATCCTTGTATGCATGCTACTCTTGTAAAAGTAGCGTTGGCTTATACGTGCCTCTCTCCCAAAACAACAGCGCAAGCCAACAAAGAGCGTACTGTAGAAATAGCATCAACTACTAGCAATACAAATGAAGAACATATTTGCACATTACAAACTCTATGAGTGAATGTTCTCATCAAACACTAATGTGTTCAGCCTAAATAGAGGTAGCCTGTAGTTGACGTAGAATGATTACAACATAAAACATATCAAAGAATATGCCTACATACAGCCATGGCCAGGGGCAAATCTACAATACAATGTGAAACAGGTTTAGAGATTAGAGCTAAAACTTATGCTAAAGCCAATAGGAAAATAGTGGAAATTTACGTATTTTTTGAAGGGCATTATCAGATCAAATTAGTGTAAAATGGGTTGTCCTGGTTTTCTTTGGCATTATCCTCCCCAGGCATATTGGCAAATAATCTATAAATGGGAGTAATCATTGCACTTTGTGATGCATTGCCATCTTTTGTTCTAAACTTTGGAAAGCCATAGCACTATTGCTGACATTTGCTGACTAACTGTTTAAAGTCTGAATTAAACATGACCATTCTTTAGACTTGGACTGTAACTAGATACCTAAACAGCTCGATGAGAGCATAGCGGCCACGCAGATGTTTCCAGCACAGGCGTCCGCAGGAATCTTTGGAGATCTCTGGGATGGAAATCTGTAGGGAGGTTTGGAGGTCCCAAGAAGTCTAAGAAAGAGGAAAGGAGGGAGGGTCGGAAAAAAAAAAAACCTTCCTCCAGAAGCTATGTATTGGCTTTAGTATTGAGATGTTGTTTTTTTAATCCCAACCTCTTCCAGAAGCTATGTATTGGATTTAGTATTTTTAAAAAACTCCCTTTCATCGAAGTTTCTGTAAATCTCTGGGGATCTCTAGGGAACTTTGGAGAATTTTGGAGATATCCAGGGTTTTCTGAAGCTGTAGAAAGGAGAAACAAGAGATTTGTCAAGTAAATATATATATTATGACTTATGTTTAAAGTTACATAGTTATATGATGTTATATGTGTTAGTGTTACCATGATAGTAATGAAGAGAATAAAAATGATACATAAAAATATGAGGTTTCAAAAGTACTGTATTTCTAGAAACGTGGCAAAATGGGCCCCGTATTTGGGGATTTTCTGTTTTTTTTTTTTAAACGGGGCGGGGCGGATGGGCCGAGGACGTAGCTTGCAATGGACAGGGATGACTGATCGCATTGAACTGTCAGTTTCATTCAGTTGGGATGGTTCAGATAAAAACCTTGGGCTTTTGATGAAGTAGCAAGAACATTGAATTGGATGTGGCGCGGTTTTTGCCAGGCTTGGATCCCCAGTGTTTGCTTTGGGTTTCCCTCCATGCCCTGATTGTTAAGGCAGGTTTGGACCTGTTCAGTGCTTGGACTATTTGATTACAAAATGCTACGAAGGGGCAGGGACAACATGCCCAAAAGTGATAACACATTGTTATTATATGTATTTAAGTGTAACTCCCAATCACCAAGTTGTTTGATCGTTTGGGTTTGCCCCGTAGTTTCTGTTGGCTACGGTTTGGGGGCAATAGATTTCTTCACCAAGTGCAGATCCAGGGCTAAGCCCGAATTGATAAGTTTGCACAAAATGATCAGAGTGCTGAAAGAACTGGTTATTTCATTAACGTTCTTAATTAGATAATGATAAGTTCATGATTTAGTTGCATTATATATATATATATATAATATTCCATTTCCATCTGCACGAACTCTCCGAATCTGCCCAGCCCTCCAAGCCTGGCCCCCTGGCCCCAGGCAGGGGACGAGCTGAACTTGGCCTATGTCTCGCCTTCGCTGCCGCTGCCCGAGCGCGTCGCCAGCCTATGGAAGACCTGGGGCTTCGTTTGCACCTGCCGCAGGCGGGGCTTTTGGAGAAGGCGGAAGTTGTGTTGCCGTGTGGCCAAGGAGGCAAACATAACTCCACGTTGGGTTTTTGGTTGATATGTATATTATAATATATAATATGTATATATATATATGATATTTATATTTATGTATATATATAATATATATATATATATATCATATATATAATATATATAATATATAATAATATAATATAATATATATAATTATATATATAATAATATATATAATTATATATATAATAATATATAATTGTATATATATATATATAAGAATATATATACTTATATATATAATAATATATATAATTATATATATACACATTTAACACAAGATTAAGATGGTGTATAGCTAACTATAAGCAAGTTGGTTGATAATACTCCAATAACTCTTTGGCATTTGGTAGAGATATCTAGAACTTGGTTGATAACTTCAAAAAACTCTTGGGTTATCTTGGGTTTAGGTTTAGGGTAGATATATCGACCTGGTTAATGGGGGTTATAAACCAACAGACATGTCACATTACATAACTAGGGGGACTACCTTGAAGATAATTTATGTTACAATTTATGATATATTTGTGTAACTGGATAACCCTGGTTAGAGGTGACTTACTAGAGACACACTACCCATTTACAGATGATGTTCCTATTGAAATCCCTCTGTATTTCCTATTGGATTTTCCAGCCAGTTATGTTTGAGCAAACCGCAGAGTATCTGGAGCCTTCCAGTTGTAAAAGTTGGTTGCTATAGATTATAGCAAATCCTAACCAGCGCGTAGAATATCCAAGAATATCTCATCAAATCTCACTATATTAGGCTACAAGCTGGGCGACAAAATGTTATCTCAGTTATGCAATTTTAGTTATGTTTGTTAGCTTATAACTTCATGAATATATGAAATCTATTGAATATACATCCCCCTAGAAAACCCAACAGTTCACCCAGTGAACTCTCCGTCAACTGGTCGCGATTTCGCCGCCCCAACGGGGGGGCGTCGCCCCAACGTGCAGGTGTCAAGACGAGATCATGCTCCGAGCGGTGAAGTCCGAACAACCCGAAGGTGCGTCGTGATTTTTTCGTTACAAGTTGGTTTACATCATAGTATATGGGTATGGATCAATACCTATATTAATACCATTTTTAGGGGGATGAACATCCATTTACCAGATATTTTGATGTTCGCCAGGGGTACAAGGTTTTGACACACTGCCATATACCCTCTGGTAATTTGTTACATAGCTATTGAAAATGGCCCATTTATAGCTGATTTACCCATAAAAAATATGGTGATTTTCCATAGTTATGTTAGTTTACTAGAGGGTACATAGTATATAATTAACTAATTCGGGTAAAACAATGTCATAAACCACCCATGACTGGGAATGGTAAACATACCACATGAAAATGGTGACTTGGGGATAATTTATATCAGACTATCTTTGGGGATTATTATTTATATCTATACCATAAGACCCAGTATCTTTATAAGTTATTGGTAAAACATGTGATTCACTATTGATTTATATCATTTTATATCTACCATAAGATCTAGTTAACTGAATTATAAACCAACATAACCAACTTAGCTAACCATGCAAAAACCACAAGTTGTAAACGAGATCCTAGGGTCCTAGACCATGGAGCTCTCCAGAAAAAAATGAAATAACATGGAATAATTTTAGAGCCTTGGAACTCTCCAACTATGGATCTTTCTCACTATACTCACTATACTATAGGGTCTTTCTCATCAGGTCTTGGACTTTGACATATTATTTACAGCTGCTGAAAAAGGGGTGATTCGAGCCAGCTCCAGTCGCTGCAGATTTGACCCCAAACATTTCACTGTTTTTCTTTGGAAAAATCATATGATGATGAATGAACTTTTCGGGGGCAGCATTTCAAGATAGATCCGGCAATTGAACTAATACCATCTAATACCTGCATCTTATAGAAACACATAGAAACGACAAGCCGCCTTGTTTTTCTCAACTTCGACTCCCCACGGTTTCACCCATGTTGAGCGACTGTTTTGTTGGATCCCCACAGAACTGATGCGACTGTTGGGGTTTCAAAAGAAACGAAGCAGAAAAGAAACCTGGCATCCCCTCAGAAACACCAAGTGACCCGTGAAAAAACCTTTCCCAAATCTTCGCTAGCATTCGCTGGGGCACCATTGGGTCCGATGATGTACCTATCAAAAAGGCTGATTTCTTACATAGCAAATTGTGGTTAAAATTGCAAGAATTGCAAGTGGGTAGTTGACATTCAAAGGCCTATTCATCACCATAAAGTATCCCATGTTCCAAAAAAAAATGCCATTCGAATCATGAAATCCAGCATTTTTGATCTACCCCAAAAATCCACCATAAAAATGTCACAACTTCGGCCCTGGGAAAAGCCACCAGGAGATGTGGCCGGTCTCCAGCTGTCCCCCGCCGGCCTGGCTGCGGCCATGGCACTTCTTCGACCAAGCACGGCGGCCACGGAAGCCGAGGACGGGCTGTGACTGTGGGGTAGAGACTTAGGGATACTTAGCCGTACCTTCTAAAAGACAGTGGATGCATAGGCTGATGGTTTTGATGGATATAGATGGATATAGATGGATATTCGTGGAATTTTCATGGAATTTTCATGGGATTGCATGAAACTTACTGGGATTTCATGGGCTTTTCTTGTTTCCCCCATGGTAAAAAAACACCAGAAACGATGGGTCATCTCTTGGGATCATTGATGATTTTTCTTGGGTGCCTCGGCCTTAAGCCAAGGAGACGAACTGGGAGTTGCGGTTACTATTACTATTATTAGTAGTACTATGGAAAGGGGATTTCCAATTGCCTTGATTAACAGAGAGCACCCCCCGGCTAACAAGATGGCAACAAAGTTTGGGATACAAAGTAGGCTCTTTGGATAAAGATCTTTCTTGCATGTAACTTTTGGATATGATCTCCACATTGGGGGGGTTCCAATCAATGGGTGGTAGCATTCTAATTACCCTTTGGTAAACTAACATAACTATGGAAAATCACCATTTTCAATGGGTAAATCAACTTAAAATGGCCATGTTCAATAGCAAACTGTTAGTTTACCAGAGGGTATAAACCATCCAGCTATTGGAGATTCCCCAGGACGCATCAGATGGAGATGCGAGTAGCTCGGGCTCGTCAGATGTCAGTAGCGATGACCTTGGCAATGCAGGTGCCCCTGAACAGCCCGGCCCGGCGCGGTGGCAGGTCACCTGGTAGGGGATGTTCACACCACCATGTTTACCGCTTCCGATACCTAGAAATTGTAACGTTGGCTTCCCATGGTTCCATAGTATATTCCATGGTATCTTCTCATTGTTCCATGGTATAACCCAGATGCTCCATGTATAGTATATTTACCTACAAAACTGGCTCATTTATGGGCTAAATGTTGGTAAATATTCCATATATGGATCCTATGGGTAATGGTTTCTTGAAGTATCGTTTTCTTTTTCCATCGTACCTTCCCACATCTTCCCATCAAGACCCCGGCTTTTTCCATCCGTTTCTCCTCCCGAACAGGCGTGGCGACGGCGGTCAACGCGCCCTTCAGCGGCCCCTTGGGTCACTCACAGATTCCTGAGAGCGTCACCAAGATCGAAGCGGCGATGCAGGAGATGATGGCCAGCATGGCTGAGGGATGAGGGAAAACATGGAAAAACCTCGAAAAACATCGAAAAACAATGGATATCTATCACCCATAATGTCAACCCCGGATCAATAAACAATGGTTTATTAATTAGGGGGTACTCCTCCAATAGTCATAATATGATACTTAAATGGTACCCTCCCAAATTAAACAAGCTAGGGGTTTATTAATCCAGGGTTGACATTATATCTATGGTTTATGGACACACATATATATATATATATGGTTTGGATTTTATATTTATTTTCATGATATATTTATGGATATCTAAGGGTGGATATACATTTTTATCATTATATATATATATACACATGGTTTATGGTTTATGGATATCTACGGATATATGATATATCTACCATAATTGCAAGGATGAGGGTACCATGGATACCTGGGTATGTTGAGTCGGTGTTCCATTGGAGTTTTGCATAGTTTTCTTCAGTTTACCATGTTTTTACCATGTTATACCCATGTTGATGGGTTGAGAACTAGAGGGTTGTGAACCTAGCTGAATCTAGCTGGTTTATTTTGGATTACGACATAAGCCATAATTAATGGTATACCTCTTCACCAAGCAGTATACTGGGATAGGAATAGGGGTATGTTGCTACGGTATGTTTCATTTTTTTTTTTATAGGTCACCTGGTGTTGTTTGGAAAAGGAGATAATCGCTTGTAATTCGCAAAATATGTTAGATACGGATAGATATGGAAACTCATGGTTTTCCACTTAATCTATGGGTTTTCCAAGATTGGTCATGGCTGACTTAGATGCGCCATGCTTAGCTAGTAGACTGGATAGTAAGTGGTTGCATCCCCTTATGAACGGGTGTACAAGGGTTATACGATGTTGTGAGTTCTAAGCCAGCTGATAACCAGCTAACCAACTCCATAATACTGGTGAACCACTTTTCGGCGGGTTTGCCACCAATGTATGGCTACGGGGTAGATCTTGGATGGATACTTCAGTACTACGTTTGCTATTTTGACTGCAATACATGACCAAGGAATTTAAAATTAAAAAGATCCCAACTGTATTCATTGTGCAATACATTACCAGCTACTTTGAGGATCTTCCTAAACTATCCTAAACTGTTCTTTTTGATTACACTGTCTCCAAGATTGGCCATGTGACAAATGTGAGCCATGAAACATGCTGTGAACAATGGAGATTCCGAGCATTTCCACCAAGTCGTGGCCGTTTGAGAGGAACATGATACAACCCATGTGGCGATGATGATAGAAGTATATGTATATATATATATAACTATTGGATTTTGGGGGAGAAACAAATCTATTGCATGTTTTTAATTTGTTAATACAATGAGGAATATTACAAACCATGCTATTTTGAGGTACTTCATGAGAAATGCATGTTCGACTCATGTTCGACTTTTCCACCAACATCTCGGGTGCTGGTGCTACGAGCGCTGCATGGAGCAGAATTCATAGCCGTGCAGTGTCAAAGAGTCTATCTCCCAGCGAGGCAGTAGGTTTCAAGCTGAGATCCATGATGAATCAGTGGGTCCTTTTTGGGGATTCTGATAAAGTCACGAAGCTTTGATACCAATACTGTCAGTTGCTGCAATGGTGCCCCCAAATGATAGCTAAGTCTGCTAAGTTGACGCACATAGCTTGGTGATATGTTCGATTTATGCGGGAGATCACCATTTTCTTAGGTCGTGGATTCCAATTCGAACCACCTTGATGACAGTGTCCCATCCATCCCCATTTTTGCCGATGAAAAAATGGTATGCTTTCCAGCATACCCTCTGGTAATTTGTTACATAGCTGCCTTGAAAATGGCCATAGAAATAATGGATTTACCCAGCTAGAAAATGGTGATTTTCCATAGTTATGTTACAGTTTACCAGAGGGTAGTCTTGAGACAGAACATTTAAAACCAACACCAAATAAGCTCAAATAAAGCCTCAAGCGCTTGCCATGTCTGGTAAATCAACAGTTTGACCCCGAAAATCACCGAGTTTTAGTGGGAACAAATCTTCCAACCCCGACAACTGGCAGGGTCATCATGTTAATTTACCAGAGGGTAACTTATGAGTCCAGGGGAACACCCATGAGTTTCAGACGCCAACATCCACCTTGGCTGGGCACACTGCCTGCCAACCCGCTGCGACCGGCCCAAATTGGCTGCGTCGGCTGTTGGAAAAAGAGATGTGAATGTTTGCGGGCTGGTTTGTAGCCAAGAGTTTTTGAAGCTTGACATAGCTTGACATATTCCATTTCTGCAGGTCATTCATTTCCTAAAAGCCTTTGCTCAGAAGGGTAGGTTGAGTGTAATTGTTTTGTACTTGACCCGTAGTTGATAGATTATTCAAAGCACATGTATTCTGGTTGTCCGTTTTAAAGATGTGAAGATCCGGGTAAGTGTGTCTTGACCCATGCAACAGACAAGCAACCGACAAGCACTTGGGTCAAAGTATAAAAGACCAATCTCATTCGGGAAGGTGACACCAAGCGATGGCTAAGTCCGTTTACAACTAGGCTAATTGTCATTATGATGGATAGTTCCACTTCGGGGACTTAGTAACCAGGGGATCCAGGGGTATCAACCATTTACGATTTCTGGGATGATCCTCCAAGTATACATTTACACAGTCTGAAGTCTGGGGTAACATAAAGCAACAGCACAACTCGTGGGCCTCTGTGTGTTTGGTCACAGGGTTCACAACTTGTCACCTTTGAATCCCCAGGCCCAAATAAGCGAATTTGATAGACATGGACAATAGGACACCCTTAAGATTGTTTCTGTTAATGCTAATAGGCTAACATAGATTTTGATGTTTTTTTGTTTAATCTCAATACATCTTGAAATCGGTCATTTCACAGAGCGCAAATCAGCTCTGGTGTTTCCTTTCTGTACATCAAACTTACTCTGGGCCATTGCTTCCAGAGCAAACTGTTAAACTACCGGCAGCTATTTCCCATGCCCCAATGTTTGTCGCTCAAATACCAGTCCCACGACGTCACCATCAAATCCCATGGAAATCCCATGAAATGACCGTTAAATCACATACTGGTTGTGTGTTTTGGAACATGTTTTATTTTTCCATTCAGTTGGGAATGGAAACATCATCCCAACTGACTTTGAGTCCATCATTTTTTCAGAGGGGTAGGTCAACTCAACCACCAACCAGGTAACCAGCACCAAAAAGACATTAAATGTCATGATATCCCATGAAATCCCATGAAGAAAACACATGGCAGGTCGCTCGGACCTGGCAGAGTGCGAGGGCAGGGAATGCTGCGGAACTCAGAGCTGCATTGAGGTGCCAGCTGATCCGCTGGGGATCAGATTTTCTGTGGGGATTGGATCATGGATATTGTACAAAAGAACATACAGTATATATATATATACATAAATACTATGATATGATATGATATGATACAATATGATATGATATGATATGATACAATATGATATGATATGATATGATACAATATGATATGATATGATATGATATGATACAATATGATATGATATGATATTATTGTCTATATATACATATCATACAGGTATGTTTGTTTGAGAATGCATTGTATATTATATATATATGTAAGAGCTGGGCAAACCGTTTGCAGGTTGATACTTTACGCGGAAAGTCAAATGAGGCATTTCTACCCAATAGTGACAACCCACAATTAGTCCTTCGTGGTAAACTGAGTCACTGAGATTGTTTGGCGAAGTATGTGTTACATTTTGTTACTATATTTGATGTATATATTGCAGCTAACAAATAAATATATATATATATATATAAAATTGAGTATACATGATGTATTTACTAATTAAGTATGTTGTATATATTTGAGCTGACTATCTGAAATAAACATCACCTATATTTCTGCAGAGCGTCTTAAGTCGGCAATGATTTGGACTATGATTCACATCAGCAAGACTTTGGGGGCTGAATGTCTTACTGCGGATACAACCATGAAAAATATGTTGGATGCGCATCCCCGTAATTATAAGTCCTTGAAACATATTGCATGTTTTTCTTACCATGTCCAGGTAGAAGTTGGTTAATAAATCCCATGAATACTATAGTTGCATCTACTATAAACCATAGAATTCAGCCACTTATAAGGCAACTGAACGCTATATTGGGAGCCCCACATTGTAGCTAAAAAGACGACTTTTTGGGGGGACGACTTTTGAGCAGTCTCTATCTGGAGTCCCCTGATCCCACTTTCAGCCGCACAGGTCATTGAGGTCCACAGACCTAAAGAAGGTGGCGCTCACTTGTCAGGGCGCCTAAGAGGCGGCGATGCGGGAAACCAACAAAGGCCATGAATGTGGGGTGAAAATGGGTGAACGTGATGGTTTTGTTGTCTTTCTTTCCCTTGTGAATACATGTTAATACATGTATTCTTTTTGGGGCGCATATTATATATATATATATATTGATGTTTGTGTAATGAACCAAGACCTCAATATTTTCTTGAAAATCCTATAGAACAAATCATGTTTAAAAGGACTAATTGTTTGGTTAGCCATCTCAACAGAAATGGAAGCCACTGGAGGCATATAGAGCCCATTCCAAGTCCACTGTTTGGCGAAAGCTATGGGTACCCCTCAACAAGTAACTGAATTTCTTAAGATTTAAGGGGTTTGTGAACCTCCAGCCCTTCAGGGGTTTGCTAAATTTGCTAAGAATCACAACTTTGATTTCTACTGATTCTACTGAGATTTGATTATTTAGTCTTCTCCAGACGGTGAGGAAACAAACATATTTGTGGCCCTAACATTGCAGCCCCATCTTGGGTCTTCGTTCCGATGCCGCTTGACATTTCATCGGCCCAAGTTCCACTTTAACCGAACCTTATCCGATAGATGAACTCAAAAAAGGCCGTCGCTTTGCGATGGATTTGGCCTCTCATTGTTTCGGCTGCGGCAACTAACTGCCTCGATGACCAGTCGCCACTGCCCACGCGGGTCCTGCTGCAGTCGCAGTCTGAGTTGACGAAAGCTGAGAACAGCACTGGCACCCCCTTCATGGTTCCTGGGTGAGATAGCTGACCCCTCAGGTCGCCTTTGGGACTGGGAAAGCAACTGAAGTCTGTCCTAATCAGTTATAAGATAAACTCCATCAACTAAGTTCTAAGATGTTATAAATTTATATAAATTTCATAAACCATGTACTTATTGGAGCTATAAACCTAGCTATTTTGGGGGGGCCCCACTTCGTGGTTTCTTGACATTCCACAACTGAAACGGAGACATTTTCCTGATCACTGAGTTGCGACACACGCGGCACCAGGTTCTAGATGTCTGGGACGAAACGCATCCAACGCATTCCACTTTTGTGGAGCATTTCTTTGGGGCCATCGGCCTGCTACTCACAGTGTGCCTGGGATTAAATGGAAATGGCAAGTATCTGTATAATTAATCTGCAGAAGATATTATGGTTACAATTCCTATATATGTATAATATTATATAGTCTAGTTAGATCATTTCTATTACTGATTTTGATGTAGTATATGAAGGTTTTGAAGTTTTGCCAAGAAAAAACTCTAAATTGCAGGTTTGGAAACAATTGAAAAAGGCTTTTCCCATACTGGGCATTTGCGCAGCTTTCAGAAGAGATTTTCGGGATGTAGTTGTGGTGTCGAACATGCTTGCGTACGGTTTTTTCTCCACTTTACCATGATCTCAAGTTCCGACAGCCAAGGTCTCTTGCAATCTATTTGAAATTCATAGTGGAAGATTATGAAGAGAAAACTTCCGCCAACAGCCCTCCCTGGTTTTGCGATGAGCGCATCATTGTCCAGGCTCCCTGTCTTCCAATCAGTTGGAGAGCCCATAAACTTGGTGTCCACCACAGTTGGTGAGCAGCTTAGAACCCAGCTTATAAGTGGGGTTAATAGGGAATAGGAGTAATCCACCTACAATTCCTGTGGCGACCACCAAACAACCTGCATCCAAACTTGATTTTCAGGAGGGCAATCCCGGTGACTGCGAAACATACAGAGAACACTATCAGCTGTATTTTCGGGTATCCAGACATCACCATGCTATGGGTTCCCGCAACCAACTTAAATTGAACAGATTGATTACCTTAAAAACAGGATATGCATGGATTTAGGTCAAGAACACCAAAGTGGAGTGAACATGTGCCCTACTAATTAGTCATTTGCACATCAGTTCATGGGCACCCTCCACTCGTTTTCAAATGACGACATAGGTCAGTGGTTATCCCGAGTCATATAGACCAGGTGTGGGCACCAGGTTGTCGAGCTGAGTGCCAATGAGGATCAATGATTGATGCGTATCTATGCGCCATAGTCAAGAGTTTGAAAGCTTGACTATGTTTGATTATATACCCAGATTGGGGGTCACCATTCCATGTTCAGATAAACATATCCATTGTAAGGAATCGCATTCATGACGGTGGGATGAGCATAGGCCATGAATCATATAGTTGATTCTGTGTATATATACGTACGATTTATACATACATACATACATACATACATACATACATACATCCATACATACATACATACATACATATATATATATATATATACAGCACATGATATTCCCATGATATTCCCAGTGCTGTTGATTGAATCCCATGAATTATATTCCCTAAAGCATGAATCCCATCTCGCTTGACCATGGCACACGTCAAGGGCACGGTATACAAGAGTCAAGATTGAGTGGAGGTTTCCAATTCCATGGGGCTACCCCAAAGTGGATGGTTTTTGTCGTGGAAAATCATTTTAAGACGGATGATTTGGAGGTATGGATTCACTTTAGTAAACCTACATGTATTTGAAACAAACGATCGAAAAGTCACCGGAATGATGGGAATTGGACTGGGGGAATCACCCCAAAATTGCCAAACATATCAGGTTACATAATTATTATAACCTACAAAGGGCCCCCTAGATAGCTAAGTTGGTTTATAACTCCAATAACGATGGTTTATGGTACTTATAACTATAGTTACTGGGGTTTATAAACCAATTTATAACTGGGGGGCCCCACATTGTATATATTCAGCTGTTTTTAGGTAACCATCCAATGTTAGAGGTGTTTAGTCTTGATCCCCAACCATAACCAGAGGAAGATACGACCTGGGTGACAGGCAGATAAACATGATACACGAAGCGAGATCACAAAGACGTCTTGTTCTGTGATATGGCTGGTTGGTGGTTTGGAACATTTTTTATTTTCCCATATATCGGGACTTTCATTTTTCTCGGGGTTGAAACCACCAACCAGATGGTGTTGAAATTCCTGGTTTACACCTCAGGAGCTGTAGAAACTCGCATCTGGACCTGGGGTTCCACCCAGATTCGTAACGGACGCGTAACTTGCGACCAGACTCCGCCATGTGAGGTCGGCGGTGGCTTTGTGCTGGCTTGGGTAGTCATTGGGGTCATGGTCTTCACGCAGGTCTTGAGCTTTTCAGCACCGTGGCAGCCATGGTGGATTTGACGTTGTTTTTGAGTAGCGCTAGTAAGGGGAATCATCCCTAACAATGGCCTTATTTTAGCTTGATAATTCTTGATATATCTTATCCAGATAGGTGCTGAATGACCCATTTGGAGGAGACAGACTGTTCGCGATTGCGGTCGAAGTCGTTTTTGAGAGACTCCTAAGTGCATGGTGGGTTGATGGAGAGAATCCATTGATGTGACATCGGACATTTCAAGTACCCTCTGGTAATTTAACATAGCCATTGAAAATGGACATTTATAGTGGAATTACCCATTGAAAATGGTGATTTTCCATAGTTATGTTAGTTTACCAGAGGGTACTGTACTGCAACATCGACGCACAAGGAATGTGATCAGTGGGAATGTATACAAGGTGTTGCCCCCAGATTCGAAGTTTGCTTGTGTATAATTGCCTAGTTCGATGTATGTGCGGTTGACGCCAAAATGCTAAATTACACATCCTTGTTGATTTTCCCAAATATGTTCCAAATATGTTCCCACTTATAAATTGGTGTATTGCCCTATGAATAAATGATAGCTATCCCCCTTTTCAACCCAACAGTTAACCAAGTTCTGTGTGTCAACTTAGGTTGGGGGCCACACCTTGTAGCCGTCAACATGCCCCAATGATCAGGGTTGTTCTGCTTCAGGATCAGTAAACTTCAACCAACGCCGATTCTGCCAACAAAATTCCACCAACCCCTCATTATCCCTCATATTAATTCATATTACGTGTATATATATATATATATACACATATTGTATACACAGTGTATGAGTGACCATATATATATATATATACATATGTATATATATATATACATATGTATATATATATATATATACACATGTATATTTATATACACATATATGTATATTGCTTGATGCTTAATAAACCCTTTACTTGTATTTGAATGAATCCCCATGACGCCTCACTACCAAGGTCTTGGGCAAGGAGAGAAATCTTACCGCCTTGGCCTCTCGGGCCTGATCATCTCAACCAGTTTTATCATCTCAAAACGACGTATGTTGAGATGATCACATCTTATGGAAAACTGCTAATGTTGGTGGAAAAAGCTCAGTGCCAATTTTGGTTGGTGAATGTTTGTTGAGTTTCAGTTGCGGCTAAGAAGTTGGAAGTTTCACTCCAAGTGTCTGGGAAGGAAGTCACTCCAAGTTGTGAAGAGTCACATCAATGACATGATTTCGTTGGCCGCCTCAGATTCTGTATGTCGTTTATCGATGTTTGTCCAAGCCTATTGGTGCATTGATGTATTTTGTTTAGTTCACGAGTGGTTCTTCAGTTTTGTTTCATGGACGTTGAAAATTTACCAAAACAAAATCAGCACGGAATCCCTCTATTCCTTCAAACAAAGCCGGGAATAATCGCCAAAAGCAACCCTGAAGCTCAAAACCATTTGGTGTGGGTCAGTTTTTGAGCACCAATAAATCCACTCAATTAGCAATTTTTAGTGTTAACAGTGTTAACCAATGTTAACCATTCGTTTTGGAGTGTTGATCATCTTGACCCCCCCTAAATCTGCTGATTCATCATAATTTTGCCTATGAACACAAGCGTTTTATCCCATGCAGGTGAGCCATTTCCAGTCAGTCACATCTCCAGGAAGCCCTCTACGTCTGTGCCGAGATTCTAACCACGGTGGGCTATGGCGACGTCTCGCCGAGCAGCTATGCATCGCAGGCCTTTTGTGCGGTGTATTCCATCTTGGGCTGCAGCCTCATTGCTGCGGCTCGCCGCGGACCGGCCTCGTAATGCGTCAGTTGGTGCAAGCTTGAAGTGGATGCGGGGCCCCCAACGTGATGTTTGTTGCTTTATAAACAGCACGTATTTTAGTGTTAAGTATATGTATCTAAGTATCATAAACCATACTTCTTGGAGATCTACATCTTGGAGATCTACATCAACTTAGCTATCGTTTGGGGGCCCCACTTTGTATGGTTAAACTATGGTAAGCTATGATGTAGAGAGTTAAGTTGGTCATGAGTTAGATGGCGAGGTGGATGTTGGATATGTTTACGTAACATAGTAATTACGTATCTACTCTAGAGAGATGAGATATCTATCACACACCATACTGAGGCTACTCAAGCCTATAGCTATAGATATAGAAGCTATATTTCTACTTGTATGTACCATATGAAGATGGGAGTATTTGTTTGATTTCTGGTGGAAATGAAACGTGTAACATGTGATTCTTGGCATGCTATGTGGAAAGCAAAAAAAACTCAACACTTTCAGGTGCTATTGTTTGGTGTGTTCCAAGAGAGAAACAAAGCATGGTTCATCATGCAATGCACATTCTTGGAATTTGTTTGTGGTGAGGTGTTGTTTAACTCCAGTGCCGCCATGAATATCTCACACAGATAAGTGCGAACATACAACATTCATAATACCTCGATCACGATTTTGTTCCATCAAGAGCATCATTTTGTATCTTGAAGAGTTGACATCATTTTCTGAGTTGTGATGGATTGTTCGCTACTTTCTACTTGCAACCCCAGTCAGCTCGTGAATATCTGAGGTACAGTAGCCTCTGACAGGTCTCAATTGGTGTCGATTGCATTGTCCCAAAAAATGGACAGGGAGGTCACATTTAGGACCAGGTGATGCGTTTGGAAAAATCCACCACGAAGGGAATTCAACCTCACCAATTTTGCCAATGCGGATCCCGGCTGTGAGAGTTGTCAGTCGTCCCGTCAATTTTATCCAATTTTGACAGACCCTGAATTTACCACTATGAACCATCCAGAATCCAGGATAAAGATAAGGTTAAGGAACCAACTGGTCTCAGGGGTTTTCAGGAACTGGATCCAATCTTTGGAAAATCCCTATAAACAACTTTGGTGAATAGCTGAAGTTTGCAGAGAAATTGAAGATGGAATCTAGGTCTTCAGGGCATTACACCGTAATCTATGTAATGTGGTAAACCCAATAATGAAATATCCCTAAATTCACCATATAATGGGTGGTAAACACTATCCCCAAATGGTAGGTTTATGGCATTGGGTTGCCCACAGCCGTTTGTTTTCACCTGTAACCCTCTAGCCCAGGTGGTTTTCTCCCTACTCTTCAACCACTACCTTGGCACTCAGCGTCACCTTGTGCCATTGACCCACCCTGCAGTGGCTGCAGCAGCAGCACACAGCAGGCCCAGATACAAGGCCTGATTACATCTGTTGCCCTGGGGAAAACATGCAGAAAGATGTGGAAAACCTATGGCTTCCTTAGTTAAAATGATCTACAAAGGGTGGGTTCCCGCATCAATGTTTAGTTTACAGGAAGCTACTTGGACCGTCAGTGGCTCAAACAGCTCAACATCATGATCGGTGCCAGGTAGTCTTAACTTAAAAAGTTACTTTGGTCAAATCATCCAGCCTTTAGCTACCCAGCTTGTTTGCTATCAAAAACAGCAAAAGAAAGAAAGGTAATTCATCACTACTTTTGTAGGAGCTTACTATCCTGTCTTTTTTCGATGGTGTTATAATTGTTCAACAGTTTAACAAAATACATCATCATCATCATCATCATCATCATCATCATCATCATCATCATCATCATCATCATATGTATACATATATATAATTATATATATTATTACATGTATATGACTATGATTAATATATATATATATATATGATTATATGTATATCAATAGTCAAGATAGTAGTTAAGCTGTGAAACAAACCCCCATTTCACGTATATACATTGGCAGTAGTACTATTTTTTAATATATCATTTTAGTAATATATGTGTTTTGGGATGTTTTTAACCATAGTTCATGTTTAACTTTTGTTTTGGGATGTTTCAACCATGTGTCATTTTTTCATCGGTGTTTGGTCCCATTGAAATCTCAATTGTTGATACAGTAGATGTTGATAGTCATCTCCAATTTGAAATATTTTCCCTATGGATCCAGCCGTACCTTTTTAGGAAGTGTTTGGGGTATGATTTACGGGGTTAAGTACCTTCTCAGACAGTGCTTGGATCCATAGGGATTGAATGGTTAAAACAATTTTAAGATCCGAACAAGCCCTATTTTTCAAGTGAACGTGCCTCCACTTGTTGTGGAGCTCGGCAGGGTGCGATGCAGACTTTGCGACCTGTGATCTTGGCGCTGGCCATTGGCACTGTATCTTGGCCCTCAAATTGTTGGATTATAGGATATAAATGGCTTTTTAATAACTTTATGATGGGATATATATATATATACTACAGTCAGACAAAATAATATATATATATACATATTGTCAGCTTTGCGGAACAATATATATATATATATACCAGTAGTACCGCACAAGGCGGTGGCGGAAGTTTCAAAAATAGGAAACCTATAGGAGAAGTTGGTTGTTGCGAATCAGGGATGGCAGAGCGAAGCCGCTGATTGACCGAAAGGTGGTTGGAGTTGTGTTTGCTGGAATGGTTGCAATGGTTGCAGTGGTCACCTCACCCACAACTGCTGGATGTAGTGTGATGTACTGCAACTGTAGTTGTAGTTGTAGCGTGGTGGAGTTGTAGTTGTGGTGTAATGTAATTAGTGTAGTGTAGTTGCAGTCATATGGTTGTAGCTGTAGTTGTTTTGTAGTTGTAGTTGTAGTTGTTGTAGTTGTAGTTGTTGTGTGGTTGTAGTTGTTGTGTAGTGTAGTTGTAGTTGTAGTAGTAGTAGTTGTCGTTGTTGTTGTAGTTGTAGTTGTTGTTGTTGTTGCTGTAGTTGTAGTTGTTGTAGTAGTAGTTGTTGTTGTTGTTGCTGTAGCTGTAGTTGTTGTAGTTCTAGTTCTAGTTGTAGTTGTTGTGTAGTTGCAGTTGTAGTTGTAGTTGTAGTTGTAGTAGTAGTTGTTGTTGCTGTTGCTGTGGCTGTTGTTGTTGTTGCTGTTGTTGTTGTTGCTGTTGTTGTTGTTGCTGTAGCTGTTGTAGTTGTAGTTCTAGTTGTAGTTGTAGTTGTTGTGTAGTTCTTGTAGTTGTAGTTGTAGTTGTTGTTGTTGTTGTGGTTGGTGTTGTTGTTGTTGTTGTTGTTGTTGCTGTTGCTGTTGCTGTTGCTGTTGCTGTTGTCGTCGAAGTTAGGGTAGTTAAGTTAGTGAAGTTAGTTAAGTTAGTCAAGTTAGTTAAGTTAATCAGTGTCTACTTTTTTCGACATCTTCACGTCAAAAAAGGCTCAAAACCCTCAGTTTTTTACACTTTGAACTTCGAAATGTGCTTCGCGCCACCACGGCGTGCACTTTTTCGACACTTTTTCGACATCTGAACCTCCAAAAGTGGCCCGAGACCGTCAGTTTTTAACACTTTTGACTTGGAAATGTGCTTCGCGCCACAACGGCGTGCACTTTTTCAACATCTCAACTTCCAAAAGTGGTCCGAGGTTGCGGTGTTTTGTACATTTTGACTTGGAAATGTGCTTCGCGCCACAACGGCGTGCACTTTTTCAACATCTCGACTTCCAAAAGTGGTCCGAACCTGGTGTGTTTTGTACATTTTGAGTTGGAAATGTGCTTCGCGCCACAACGGCGTGCACTTTTTCGACATCTCAACTTCCAAAAGTGGTCCGCTCCTCTAGTGCTTTGTCCATTTTGACTTGGAAATGTGCTTCGCGCCACAACGGCGTGCACTTTTTCATGTCTCATCTGGCCAGCTGGCTCCGCACCCGCCGCTTTAGCGAGCCTACTTTTCGACCCTCCGGAGCCACAAATCATGGGAAAAACACAGTGTTTCGCGACTTTCCTACCTTTTCGCGCATCTGCATCTTCTTTCTTCTGATCTTGTCTCTTCTGACTCTTCTCACCTCTGCTTTTCAACTGTCCATATTGTCGGAAGTTTCACTTCTAAACTTCCTTCGATAATATATAATTATATATATATATATACATACATAGCAACCCTAAAAAGCATTAAAAAACGATGCCGAAAATACCTTGCAAACCTCGAAATTACGCGGCAAACATCATCTACGTTTGTATGTTTGTAGGCATTGCTATATATGGCGATTCGATACCTCAAAATGACAAGTTTTATATTCTTTAACAGGGAACACGATGATTGAGCAGCAAATTTCTGTGTGCCTTATTTCAGACAAACCCATCTCAGGAAACCAACTGCATTTCACATGATCTCATCACCAATTCAAGATAGTTCACGGGAACCCGTCGCTCGACAATCATGTCTTTATTCGCTCTGATTCGAAAAATATAATGACTATGGCAGAGTGAAGAATGGAAATCTGGGATTGGCAGGGTTTTAAAGATTTGGAGATTGATGGCGACGGTTATGCCAACATGAAATTGTCAATTATACAATCGGAATGTGATCAAATATGTTTTAATGTTTGAGGGTTCAACAGTCACAAGATACTTTGGATAGAATTTATTTTAAGGTAAAAGAAAGAACTTTCCACGTCGTGCAACTACATGTATGTTTTTGAAGTTGTACATGATAAGTTATAATATATAATATATATATATACAATCTCATATTCGTGTATATTATAGTATACATTTTGGGACAAGTTGAAATCACCAACCAGTGTTTTTTTCTTTGAAATACTGCTTTTTCCAAGAATCTAAACCAACTGGTTTGTCCAACATGTTGTGCACCGTAAATATTACCCAGTATATTCTACAAGACCGGATGCACATGACTGGCCCGTCAACCCGGAATATGGGATGGCCATGACCATAGACAATACGGTCACTGGCTCATCTAAGAATTGGTGACCCTTAAAGTGGCCGTAGGAGTACCGTGGGGGAGTCAAATTTGCAAAAGGCATAGCTCCCCAAGTGATGAGACAGATCGATTAATCTCAGACGCAGCCAGCGGCAGCTGAGGTCTTTTTCACTTACTATCCAGGTGAAGAGAAGTCCCCTTGGGAGCCTCTGCGAAGCTGGCAATCTTCGGCAATCCAATGGGTGAAGTGATATTATGAATATATATATATACACATATATGAATTCATATGAGGTGTTTCAAGGTTTTTCAGCGGATTTGCTTACAATAACCCCCTCAAGAAGTTGGAAATGTCGCTACCTTCCTCCAGTTTAAAAAAGGGGGAATCTCCCAAGGTTTCCTTGACTGCGGCCAGTGCTGTACACCTACGACAAAAAACCTGGTTTCCGAGAATTGGAACAACATGTTGGATGGTTTATAACATATATATCTTATGTTATATATATAATATATGATATATAATATTAAATGGCACTACACCAACAGCTTTCTTGTAACTTCTCACTTAAATCATCTTAAATCGAAGCAGTGATGGAGACACTTTCCAGCCCTGCCAACGCAGTCAGACTGCGGTCATATCAGAGCCAGATGATAGCACATTGACCCTAAAGTGTAAAAACAAGCGTAGTAGACGTAGCAATGCAAAATCCGCTGGCAGACTTCATCTGGTTGGTGGTTTGGAACATTTTTGATTTTCCGTAATATATGGGATGTCATCCTTCCCATTGACGAACTCATATTTTTCAAGATGGGCACATTGCACCACCAACCAGTCATCTTTAAATAGGAAAAAACAGTGACGATTGACATCGATATCTGAGTCTCTGGATATGAAGGAAGAACACTTCAGCTTCGCGGGACGGTCATTTGACATTCACAGGACTCATCCCAGCAAGCCCATCTAAATCCACTGGTTATGACTAACAGTTTGCCATGGAAAGATCCACCATTTTTAATAGGTAAACCATCTATTTCTATGGGCCATCTATACCATGGCAAGCTGTCAGTCATAACCAGGTTGGATAAATCCACTGGTTTATCTTCATGTTATATCATGTTCCTTTCTGTTTTGGGGGGTGTCATGTTCAATCATGTTCAGACACACTGAAAAAACATGTGAAGGGCAAGCGCGCCGCAGCCTTCAATTTGTTTGGATCGGGCTTGTGATTTTTTGGATTTTTTGTGTCATGGCGCTGCAAGTATCAATCCCATCAGACCCAGGTGCAGAGCAGACACGGGGGGCGGATGGAACTCAACGCTGTTTTTTTTTGTTCCTTTTTTGTTCCATGGAACATGTAGCTGCGGATGGTATAGAAGATCGGTTTTCCGATAATTCCTGAATATCTTCTATAATAACGGTAAAAAGTATAATAAGTTGTAATAAAGCATGAGGTATTGCCCATTGAACCAATGCAACACATGGGGAGCCAGTTGAAAAGTGAGGATTCGAACTGACCCCACCACCATCGATGGTTAGCTCATTGTTAGCTCAGTCATCCCCAACGTACGCTTAAAAAAAGAGCGTTGTGAACAGATGAATTACCATGGAAACATAAAATTGGACGATCCTCATAGTAGGAATACAGTTGAAGAAATGTGCATGGATTAAAACCGATTGACCATCTTTGGTGACATGAAGCTCCATCCCGGGGCTGCGAGTGTCAAAATCTGCCACTTCTTGAATATGTGAGTTGTAATTTATTGAGTAATTTAGCTATTTTTATATGTTTTGTGATTTTTGTTGAAGCACCTATTGGATCTATTGAATCTTCTCCTATTGGTACTTTTTTGTTTCATGTATTTTATTTGATTGAGGATTTCCACGTCGATGCTCTTGCTGATAGGACCCTTCATAGCCAGATATAGCCAGTCATGGCAACTCCTAGATTTCTGGATGCCTGACGCCATCGCCGCAGCGTTATAAGGATTTTATGTGAACATGGTGCATAGCAACCTAGCAACCCTCAGAAACATGCCGAAACGTGTGCAACCAGGATATTAGTTTGATGATTCATTTCCCCCTGAATTTCCGGGTTTACATCGTATTTTGGCAGCTTTTTGAGGTTACTACTACTTATCTCTAACCTTGGGTCGGTTTGTTTCGTGGCAACTTTGGTTTGTTCCAGAATTTGATGTCAAATTCAGTTGGTTTGTCTAGTTCAAGACGTGAATCAACATTTAAACAGCGACGTCTCCGAATCTTTCTCTGGTTTGTGGTTTCAGTTTTCGGTTTTCCAACATTTTTTGGATGCATCATATGATGATGATTTCATTGATTAGTCATTTCAGTATTCGTTAGTTCAACCACCAATCAGTTGATTATTGCTATAAAGTTGATATCCCCATTTCAGTAGGAATTCTACCCTAGGCCCGATACTCTCCCAATTGTCTTGCTTCTCAACGGATGGCTTAACCAACACTCCGTTTTCAACATGGTTCAACTATCTAAAATTTGCCAATTGTAAATGTGATTGTTTCATATCCCATATGCTCCATGGTGCTGGAATATGAATCCCAACATTTACCCCATTTTTATGAGCCAGTTTTGTAGGTAAATATGCCATCTATGGAGCATATGGGTATCATTTTCCCACATTTTCTCGTCATAAATCGGCCGGGCATTTCCCACAATTTCTCCAGGTGCCGAGCTGGAGGCCGGCGATGATTCCGCGGAAGAGCTGAATCTTCATCTTGGGAAAAGCCACAGTGATCCATTGGTCAGTAGAATCTCGGAGGATGTTTTGGTCGTCCCTATGGATCCACTGTCTGAGAAGCTGCGGCTAACCCCCTAATTAAATCATACCTCAAGTACTTCCTAAGAAGGCACGGCTGGATCCATAGGGAGTGTTTTTTTTTGATTTTGATCAGTTTTCTTCAGACTAAAGGTACGGCGGAAAATGTGATTCTCGTTTTCTATGGATTGATGTATATATATATATATTAATATTAATATTAATTATTACACATATCGAAAGTTGTTTACTGGCTTTGTCTGTAAAGTCTCTGTTTGTTGTTTTTGTTCATTTTCTGAGTTTAGAAAAACCGAGTTTCTGTAAATTGCTCAGAACCTGAGTGGTGGTTTCAAAAACCCAGTTGGTCGTTGATCATATTGGAGATTATCATAATGCATGAAGAAGGAATTGCAACCAGTACAAGAGAACTTGCTCGAATGGCACGGAAGCATTTTTAGATGAGCTCAGATGAGCTCAACCTGACAAGGAAGCCATCGGACAACGGCGACGGGTGACTTGGAACGATATCACCTGGTGCTTGGCGCGCCATGATTATCAGCTTTTTTTATTTCTGAGTGGGAGAGCGCAATTTACATGTGCCAGCCGTGCCAGCCACAGCATCACTTCTTTTAGTGGGTTTGGATGGTTTTGGTATACTTTGCTGGCATTATTTTCTGAGTTGGCAACATGGAAACTATAAGTTCTGACCCCACTGAAAACTCTGAAATCAAAAACCTCCAGACTCTAGTGAGCTTTTGGATTGAAATAAACAAAAACTAGGAAGTAACTCTATACCAGCCATGTCCCCCAGAAGTGTTCGAAATCTCGAAAGTCTCTCCATGGATCCATTCATAGAATTGGTACTACTTTAGGAGAAAACCCATAGCCCTTTTGCACATTTTCTTCTATGAATGCATTGAATGTAATCTGTTCTTTTCAATTCAGTCAGATCCCTATCTTGTTAAGTTACATTACATCACCCATTTTCTTGAATCCCCCGGTTTTCCCAGGGGGAAATTCACTATATTGTTCATGTTTAGAAAAATACTTTACTTCGAGTGATCCCCACCGTGACATTATATATTGTGGCATAGTTTCTGACATCTCATTTGGAAGTATGTATATTTCTGACATTCTATTCTGGCATTCTATCTGACATTCTATTCTGACATTCTATTCAGGCATTCTATCTGGCATCTATTCTGACATCATATCTGGCATCGTTTCTGGCATCTATTCTGGCATCTATTCTGACATTTATCTGGCAATCTGGCATTCTTTCTGATATATTCTGATATATTCTATCTGGCATTGATTCTGGCATTCTATCTGACATTCTATTCTGGCATTCTACCTTGCGTCTATTCTGACTTTCTATTCTGCCATTCTATCTGGCAATTCATTCATTAATTCTGGCATTCTTTCTGGCATTCTATCTGAAATTCTTTTCTGGCATTTATTCTGACATTCTTTCTGACATGGCCACTGAGATCTGGCAGGAGCTCGCGGTTGAGGTCCGGCAGTGCTCACTGAGATCTGCAGGACGAGGAGGAGAAATAGGAGGAGAAGGAGGATAATTCTGTTAAAATCTAAAAACCCTCACCTGGCAGGTGGGGAACTTACTATGTGTCACTGTGTCATGGTCAGATCACCATTTTTGCCGGCGAAATCGACCCATGGCAAGGCCATTCCGTGGACCTGGTTCCTACCAAGCCCATGGCACCGCGGCCCTCGGGCCAACGCCCGGCACCGCGGGCACCGCGGAGCGGCTATGTGCGGTCGAGGGGAAGCTCGGGCCTCACCCCTGTGATTGAGAAGGATGAATCCCTGGAGTCAGTGGAGGAACACGAGAATGGCCTAACCTTGAGGGAGTCCCTTGGATTTTCAGCAAAAAACTGATGGGTTTTCATGGATTTTTGCCGCATTTCTGCATCCAAAGATGAACAACTACGCACAGGAATCAAGGGAGTAGCTGGGTTGTTTTCCGGGGGCGACTCAATTGGGGAGTGGAAACAAATCCTGCAAAGGTTTAGACCAGGCATCTGGGGTTTATGATCTTGAGATATATTGATCCAGAGTAAATGATAGGTTGGTTGGATTAACTTCTTGACTCATCATTAGACACCCCAGCATTTTCACGCCGCTTTGGTCTGGTTGTGAAGATATGTTGATGTTATCCTCTTCAATTTTCACGGTGTTTTTTTGAAATACAAAATGTGAAACAGTGTGTTCGTGTGTGTTCCCATGATTGTCAGTATTTGTCCGCTTTCCGGCTTATATTATGTTTTACTGCTGGCATTATCACACATATCCCTATTTGCTGGGAGATGATATCCACTTGACATCTTCTCCAGGACATGTTCTCATTTTGTCGGGGCCAGACTTCCGGCAATGAAAGCCATTAATTATTCAGGTTACCATGTATTTCCTATGTTTGTTGTATGTTCATATCTTCATGTGTGGTGGGAATATATGGGAATGTAGCATAGTTGTTGTCTTGTTATGTACTGTCTAATGCCTAAGTTTGTTGGTTGGGAGCGATCAGAACCTGATCAGTTTTTGGTGACCTCGCAACAACCTCACGATGAATTGTATAGCAAGTAAGGGGAATAATTCCCAACAGTGAATTGAAATGCCCCCCAACTACCATAGACCCTGAGAATCACTAGTCTTAGAGGAATGTAGTCTTGAAAGCCACCGATTTGTTTGGCAGGATCTATGTTGATTTCAGGGATGGTAAGGCTTCCATTTCCATTTCACGTGAGGTTGTCGCAGCGTTTCCAGGCCCTGAACCATTGGGGTTCGCTGTTGGGACTGTTTTCTGATGAAAGGGACAAAGGGACTGTACTCATATCATGCAAGGTGGGCCCCCGTTTACGATACCTAAGTTGACTTAAGTTGACGCACATGGTTTGGTTAACATGTGGGTTTACTTACTCAGCCAACGCCTAAATTTTACTTTTATTTTCCTTGGGTCCGTGCGCGCCACCCTACCAGTAAGTACCCCAAAATAAGCTTGTTGAGGCGCGCGCGCGGGGACCCAATGAGAAACATTTTCATTTTTTTTGGAGATCATCCACTGAGTAAGTTATTGGAGCTACTGTAGCCATAGCTAATCGTGGTTGTCAACCAACGTATAAAGTTTGGGAGCACCACCCTGATTCAACCAACCCTCACAGAGATCACCTTCTCACAACCACTAGCAATTAAGGGCGTTTGAACGACGGATTTATTGGGGGTGCAGTTGAGGTTATAAATCGAGAAAATCAGGGTAATCCATATTATATCATGATGTATAATTTCCATGTTATATGAAATCCCTGATATATGTATATATGGTCAGCCTGCGTCTTTCGTTCTATCAGCAGTTGAATCCCCGTGTTGGGTAGGATTCGGTGGTTGAGGGCCGTTGATGGTTCAGGGACCGGTGTTTGCTGCAATCTTTCTGGGTTCCCACATTTTCAGGTCATTTTGGGAAGAGTACGCTCAATCGCAACTTCGCTCTGATTTGACTGAATGGAGGGTTGAGGTTCATCGCACCCGATCTCTTTTGACTGACTATAATCAAGTTCTTGGGAGTTGTGAGCGAGACTTGACTCGACAGAAGTGGTGGTCTGCAGTATCAACTTGATCCTTGGTTTTCTTGGGTTGTGTATCTGGCTGAGCGTCCATTGTGATTTCCGCCGACGTAGATCTCATTCCCTTCCCAGTAGGTCTGAGCCTGAAACTGACAGTGAGGGACTCTGCGAAGTGATACGGACGGGGCCCACCAAACCATCTGATCTTGTTAGGAAACCGTTGATGCGAGATCATGGCAAGAACATTGAACGTGTCAGAACCGCAAGTGTTGATCCACTTTCCCGATGACGCCCATTTCAGCTATCGATTGCTTCTTCATAAAGTGTCACCAGGCAGATGGGTAGTTCTGACTCCTGACCTTGAGTTGGAAGTGCAAGATCTCAATGCCCGGCGCCATCTGGTGTTGGGCATGCACAGTCCTTTTCCAGCTCAGGTGGCGGATTACTGTTATGTCTTTGATGACTTGAGCCGCAATGAACTGGAAAGGCAGAGGAAGCTTGCCAGGACAATGGGTTCAATCCTTGACGACGGTGACATTGCAGCTGTCGCTGCCATGCAATGGATTGGTGCTGATCCTGCGAAAGGTTGTGCCACATGAGATCCTTGAGGACATTGTCACACAAGGTTCATCAGGGTTGGTGCTTTGGGACAATGAGACTGAGTATGTAAAGGAGATGCCTGTAGATGATGTTGCTTCTTTTATTGATACTCGTAAGGAGAGTGCCGGTGATCTGCGTACCATTGGTGACCATAGAGATGGCTCTGGTAAGAGGTACATAGATTTTAAGGACGGCTTGAACCTCTTGAGAGAAACAACATTTGATGATTGGCCTTTTGTCGGTCCCAGAGCTGTAAAGGAATACCTATCAGCGATTAGAGATGTCTGGAGGTGCCATTGCACATGAGCACCGCAGCCTGTGTGAAGCCCTCCGTCTTGGACTCAGCGAGGACCAGCTAGATCTGTCAAACCTTGCATCCTTTGAGCATTTGGTGCGTCGTTTGCTGACTTTGGAGATTGCCGTGGCCCGGTCGCCAAATGCCCCAGACTTTTCGGGATTGGAGGTAGTGGCTTAAAATCCAATTGCAGCAACTGGACAGGCGTATGTATCCAATATGATTTCTTGGATTACAGATCGATTCAAAGAGAAGGCGAACATACAGAAACAATCTATAGGCTGTTCAAGGAGGAGTTCAATAAGAAGAATAAGAAGACAGGAGAAGATGATGAGCCAGGCAAACGCTGGAAGAAGAAGCAGGGAAAGGGTGGATCCAAATCAAGTGGCGGAGCCGATGGCTCCACTTGAGATTTTGTGCACTTGGCAGTTAGTCGGTTTGCTGCACACGACTTCCTGCCCTCAGTTTTTCGTGCGGCATGGCGTCAGACAGACGCTCACATGGTGATATCTTTCCATTGCCCTGCCGACTCTTGGAGAGCCGGGCGGAGTTGTATGAGATTTGTTTTCCACACCGGGCCTTTTGGATTGGTCAAGCACTGAACAAGCTCGGTTTGCATGATGTCAATTCGAGAAGTGATCAAGTTTTGCGCTCCAACCTTCCCTTGGCTAGTACCCAGAAGATGGTGCAAGAGAGGATCATGTGTTCGTTGCAGATGCATGGCATGGCTCCTGATGGGATGACTGCTGAATCTGCATTGGCCTCTCGCAAGGGGGTGAAGACCGACTACAGTGGGGTCCCGAGCAATTGGGCGCCTTTCGATGCTACTAAGCCACTAAGCTTAAGATTTTGGCAACTTCTGTATCACCACAGCACATCAAAAAGTTTCTCCCCGTAGAGGCTCGAAAACTTCTTGATCATCCTGAAGATTTTGCACTGCGACATCATGTCGTGGAACCTTCAGGCTTCACTCGTATTGGAACCCTGCATTAGGGTTTAACTCAGGAAAGCGTCTGCGATTTATCTTGGACCTCTTCAAAGCTGGGTTGTTGGAATTGAGGGCCTCTGTGTCATCGCATGTGGGGGTGTTCTTTGTGAAGAAGAAAGATCCCAACGCAATTCGGATGGTCATTGATTGCCGTGGCACCACCCAACTTTGCCAAGATCCCCCAACTACACGTCTCGGTTCCTCCAGGTGTTACGCGGGTCTCAGACTGGATCGGTCACACGAGACTGGTGGAGCAGGTGCTTGGGGACGTGAAGCGGACGTCAACGATTGCTTTTACTGTTTTAGCCTTCTTGAACTTGCACACTACTTTGGGATCAATCACCCCCTTACTGCATCGGAATGGCGAGCACTAGGATTAAAGTTTGATAGCATCTATGATCCATGTACTCGACATGCAGTTGGAGTTGATGAGCACACGGTCCTTTATCCGTGCTTCCGCGCAGTCCCCATGGGATGGAGCTGGGCCCTGTTTCTTTGTCACGAAGCTGCGCTGCAGATTGCCAGGCCGGGTTCTCCCTGGAATGATGGCATTCTGCGTGAGGAGCGTGCTACACCACAGCTTTCGGAATATAATACTCTTCTTGGGGTTTATGTTGATAACATCACCGTCATTGGCAAGAATCAGGATGAGCTTGATCAGAGATGCCAGGTCCTTGAGGCTGCCTTCAAAGACGCGGACAACCTGGACACAACACACTTCGGTGACCAGGCTGGAAAGTGTTGGGTGCGTTTTGGATTTTGACAGAGGTGTCATCATGAACAAGCCTTCACGTGTTTGGAGATTCGCTTCAGCAACTGAAGCCCTCTTGAGACGGCGTAAGTTGAATGCAGAGATTCTTCAAGTTTGGTGCGGTCACTATACTGCACTGTGTGGCATCACCTACCCATTGGAGTCTGTCATTTGGAAATCAGTGAGGGTTCATGAGAAGTGGAGATTCATCTCAATGCCGGAAGAGTTGAAGCAGTTAGCCAAGAATCAAGATGTTGAGTCCTTCTCAAACATGTTGAGTGAACTTCTCGCTCCAATCTATGAGAATGATACTGGCGATCCTCGTGATGCTTTGACAGCCGCACGTTTGCCGCAGGCAGCCACCTTGTCGACAAGTTATGCTGAGTACGTGATTGAATCTCTGAGGGAAGGGTCCTGGTTGCAAACTTGTGCTTAGAGCACAACTTCATGCCAAACTGGTTGAACCATTAGATGAGCGGCTGGCTGATGAGACGCAGTATCGACTTTTGTGGGCACGACGTTGGAAGTATTCTGATAAGAATATCCGGATTAAAGAAGGTCGGGTTGTATTGTCTTCATTAAAGAGGAGTGCTAGAGTCGCAAGCCTTCATGGACAACAGAAACTTACCATCAGTGATAACTTAGGGGTTGTTTGTGCCTTCAGTAAAGGTCGATCTGGTCAGCATAAGCTCAACAGACTTTGTCGCCAGGCGTGTGCATTGCAGTTTGCCACAGGTATCATTTGGAGCTTGAGACATGTTGAAACAAAGCGTAATGTTGCTGACAAACCATCACGACGGTTTAAGAACATCGGGAATTACGGCATAGAGGAATGAGGCAGACTAGGCAGTGTGAATTTGTGGACTTTGGCGTGACAGCGGTTCAGCTGTCAGTGCACCAAGCGAGCCAAGTTGTAGTACCACAAAACCCCTCAGGGGCACTGACAAATCTCCCTCTGGTTTTTCCCCTTCTGTGACCCGTGTTTGCAAACGGCAGTGTGTTGTCAATGGATGGTTTCCGTTTGATCGTGGAAAGGTTTTTCTTGAGTTGTTTTCAGGGTGCGGATCACTCACCAAAGCCGTAGAGAGACTTGGCTTGCCCGTCTTGGAGCCTATCGACTATTTGAATGGAGCTCACTGCGACCTTAGACGCAAGACAACTCAAGACCTTATTCTTATTTCCCTGGAAAAAGGGTACTTTGGATTTGTTCATTTGGGCACACTATGTACAATTTGGTCTCGTGCACGTAGGGGGGTCATTGAGAATGACAAGAATAGGAGCAAGGAAGCAACTGGATTAGATGGCGTTTTTTTCTGCCAGAGTGATTCACTGCTGTCAGAAGCTTCACATTCCGTTTGCGCTTGAAAATCCAGCATCATCAAACCTTTTCATTTTGAACCCCTTCTACGTGCTTTACACTCTGGACCATGCTACAATGTGACTTTTCCGATGTGCGAATATGAGAGCCCTGGCAAAAGTATACAACAATTGTCACGTCCCTTCAGCCACTTCAGCGCTTGAGTTGTAGGTTCTCACACAGGAATCATGCAGTGAGGCTCAAGGGTCAGGTCCAAGTCAAAAAGCCAGACGGGACCGCTAGGTATGTGAACCGTACCGCACTGGCGGGGGGCATATCCTGTGAAACTGGTCAACGTGTATGCTGAAATTTTACTTCAACATGTGAGACTTCAGTGTGATGATGTCAAGTTCATCCAAACAGCTTGGAGCTCTTCGCTCAGGAGCCTTGTTGACAGGAAAGCTCAAACCGCCACGGCTCAATGTAGACTCATCGAAGTGGAAACCCCTAACAAAGAGTACTGTCCACTTATCTTCGACAAAGGTGGCCGTGAAAAGTTCATTGATTTCATTGCCCTGGAAAGAAGAGGCGTGGAAAGGTCTCCGTGAAGAGAAAAGAAAAAGAAGGATCCGACAAAAACGACAAGTATGAAACCTTGCTCATGTCAGTGAAACCGGAACGCAGATTGCGAGTTCGTAGGATCCGACCGCAGACTCTGATCCAATACTCTGACCATGTTCATGAGTTTTATACTTGGTGTAAACAACGTCGTAAAAGTGTGTCGTCACAACGACAGGTCGACATTGCCATGGCCGCTTACTTTAACCTTTCGTTTGAAGATGGTGCCAGCCAGAATGTTGCCTCATACACTTTGTTTGGTTGGATTGCTTTGAAGTGCGTACCCGTAGGCTCTGAAAGGGATCAGTTGCCTTTGTCACGGGCTGCCTTGACTGCATGGAGGGGTTCAACACCTAGCAAAGCACGGGTAGGGGTTGCACCCCAGGTCATTTGCAGTTTCGCGCTTTACTGTTGTACTTGTATGCCCGACCAACAGAAATTTTGACTGTGCATGGTGTTGATATTATCCCGCCTGTGGCTGGATTGGCTCCTCACTGGGGTGTGCTTTTTGGCAATACCGATTTTTCAGTCCCAACCAAAACCGGGACCTATGATGATGTGGTGCTCGCAGATTCCAAGCACCGGCCGTTGGTGCCTAAGATCCTTCAACACATTTCCAAAATGGTTAAGCTGTCAGACAACTTGATGTTTCCGGAATTGACCCTTTCCGGATACGAGCAACTGTTTAGGGATTTCTCCAAACATCACCGGCTGAAAGCGGCTATTTTCACTCCACATGTCATTCGCCACAGCGGACCTAGCTTTGATGTCATGCATGGGCATCGAGATTTGTCCACAATGCAAGCGCGTGGTAGGTGGGCCAGTTTCAGCCCCGTTTCTCGTTACAAAAGCCAGGTCGTTTGTTGTTGCATGCTAGCCAGTTGCCAGCAGGTTTCCAAAAATTGCAGCCCCAAGTACTGCAATCGGCTCTCTCCCAGGTCTTGAGCCATACATGGGCTCTTTGGCAGTAAATCCGGTTTGGAAGTTTGGTGACAGACTTCAACGCATGCTTGCGCAATCGAGTTCACAGTGGTGCTTTTTCCAATGCAGGCATTCTGGGGTGTGCAATTTCCATCGTATGATTTCCATTGCTCACCCTTTACTTGTGTCTGCAGACAATTGGCATTTCTCTTGATTGCTTGGTGATACACCCTATGCAGCGTGCTTTCTGGATGATAATGTGCCGTGGAGCTTTGAAAATGGAAGCTTCTGGGATGGGAATGGTGAGACAGAATCAATATATATATATATATATTTATCTCTAATTGATCCAGTTATAATATGTTATATATATAATTGGAACTGCACCGGCAAGTATGGGCCAGGACTTTGGAGCTGTCTCCAAAATCTGCTCTTCACTTGTTTCTTTACCTCTTGTGTGCAATTGTTTAATAGACTTTTTTTGGATGGGAAGTCGTTTACCAAGCCCATCTCTCATGGCAGGGGCTATGTTCCTTGGAAAGAATGATTTTTTCCAGAACTACCCGATATTAATATACCCATATTGGTGGTTGTAAATGCTTATATACGAGTTATACGTGATAATCATCAATATGTTGCCTCAATCCATCTTCTTGGTTTCTACATCGCCCGACCAGGAGAAGAAGAGGGTCCGCGAGAAATTCCACGGCCCAGCCTTAAGCTGGAGCAACTCCGCCAATTCGGGCGTTGAGCCTTGGTGGTGTAGCCCCAGCTGTGGCAAGTCGTGTCAAGGCTGTCAAGGTCTATCACCCAGTAATCTATTGGGGAAATTTATAGACATTTTGTGTATGTATAGCAACTGGGATGCATCCAAAAGTACTGTAGCATCCCATTGAAGAACAAGCATCCCATCAACCCCCATGAACTAGTTTGATATGTATATATATATATTTACTGTATCCAGCATAAACCCTATAATTATAGAAGTGATATTCCAACTTATCTAGCAAAGGGGCCCTTGTAGTTGTCAGCATCTCGCTGAACGAATATTACTTTCTTCGAGTGATCCCCACCAAGTGACATTCTATCTGACATATATGCTGACAGTATGCGTGGCATCTTTTCTGGCATTCCATTTGACATATATTCTGACACTCTAGTGAAGGCATTTTGTCTGACATTCCATCTGGCAGTCTATGTGATATCATCTGGCATTCTACCTGACATTCTATCTGGCATCCTTTTTGACATTTTATCTGCCATATATTCTGACATTCTATCTGGCAGATATTTTGACATTCTACATCTTGCATTCTATCTTACATACAAGACATTCTCTCTGGCAGTCTTTCTGACATTCTACTTGGCATCTATTCTGGTATTCTTTCTGCCATCTATTCTGACATCCTGTCTGCCATTCTTCCGAGCATGTGTTTGGGCCCATGGGTGCCCAGCTGTATCCGGAGCTCGCGATAGCGTTCGGGACCAGGCGCCAGAAGAAGCACACGGAGAAGCGAAGAAGAAGCGAGGAGAAGACAAGGCGGAGGCTGAGGTGAGGACAAGGACAGGAACAAGGAGGCGAGGAAGGAAGACGAAGAAGAAGACAAAAGGAAGAACAAGAAGAAGAAGAAGAAGAAGGTGAAGGAGTTACATCTTTGTTGAAATTTAGAGACCTCACCTGGCAGGTGGGGAACCATCAAATGGGTAGTCAATGTTATCCATTTTTTCCATTGATTTCTGTTCTTTCAGATGGTTCACCTCTTCACTCATGACAGCCAGCTCCCTAGCCCATTCCTCAAGGATATGGATGATTTGGACTTTCTCTTTGATGATGCACCAGATATTTGGCAGCGTGGCGTGACTGTTTGAGGTGCCGCCTGGGACGTTTGAGATCGTTTGTGCTGTCAGGCCATGAGTATTGATGAATACAGAACCGGGGCAGAAACTCGAGACTTAGATTGTTTGAAAGGCCCTAGGGGTTTGAGGCGCAATGGAGCTGTGAGACCTGAAGTTGCCCACCACATTTAGATATCATTTTGGGGTGTGGCCCTACCTTCTTATTAATTGCATCAACAGGATTGTATCTCCTGGCAACGTGGGTATGTTCACCGCTCTTTTCAAGAAAAAACGGGTTTATCGCAGCCTGAGTTTGTGGCAAGTATGAGTTGTAGGCAAACAAAATCGAATGCCACAGGCCACAGATCATGGTAAGTTTGACTCCAACCATCTCATTTTTTGAATACCTAGCCCCTAGGACCTGACCCAGACCCATGTTAATTAACCTTGAGGTTATAGTGGCCACCAAGCCGTATGCGGGAAGTGTGGCCCGAAGGTGCCCACCATGTGTTAGTTGGTTTCTACAGCCCTGTTTAACTTTAGTTTTAATCCCTTAAAGCCTATCTAACTAAGTTCTGTAGGCAATGAATGATAATAATGTGTACCCTCTGGTAAACTAACATAGCTATTGAAAATCGCCATTTATAGTGGATTTCGGATTTACCCAAAAAAAATGTGATTTTCCATAGTTATGTTAGCTTACCAGAGGGTAAGACATGTCAAATTATGTGGTTTCTTCGCCAGTTGCGGGTGGTTGAACAGAAAATCCTACTACTTAATTTGATAAGTTATCGGGGATGGTTTTTCTTTTTTTGCTTTACCACTTAAAACATCTTAAAACATGAAAACTTCAGTGATCATCATTATCCGTTAATATCACCATTTGATGTTTGACTTTTACAAGGCCCATTCATCATGATAGCGATTTCATCCTTGGATCGCCATCATATACCGCGAAAAAATAGGTCTGGTAGATGCTCTTCCCTTCCAGACTTAAGATGTGAACCTTTCAGGGTTGGCGCTATTTTGGCGATTTATCGCCTTTCACCACTCAGTCGTTGTTGGTACCTTAAAATATCTTAGCATGTCAAGCTTCCTTCGCATCAATTTCAACCGTATATTTGCAGATACCAAAAAAGTGGCGGATGAAGAATCACAGCAGGCTCTGAAAAAAAAGGGTATGCCTGGCCCAAAATATGGTGAAGTTTCAGTGTTTCACGTGGAAATCACAGGTCCATGTACCACAATCTTTGATCAACCGTCCCGTCTCCCTAATCATAGACCCGTATCAACTCCTGTGTATGGACCTCAACACTGGTACAAGGTGGGGCCCCCGGAGTTGTAACTAGTTTGTAACCCACAGTAACTGTGGGTATATCTACCATAAAACTTACTTATTGACTTTATCAAAGGAAGTTTAGAAGTCTAAACTCCGTTTACGGACTTTCAAAAAGTGAAGAAAGTCAATCACCACCATCACCACATCACCTAATCACCACATCATCACATCACCACATCACCACATGACCCCATCACCATATCACCACATGCATCACTTTATCACCACATGGGTTCTAAGTTGCAAGGCAATGACGGCAGATCGCAGTGGAATTGCTTCGTCAAGGTGATGCTTGGAGGTTTTGAAATCGCACCGAACCCTGTGTTTTCTCGTATAAAGCGATTGCAAGCGGCGATGTGGGGAGCCTTGTGCGTGCTACGGGTGCGGCTTGCGTCCGGGCGCGTCCTACATTGTAAAGTAGAATTTAGGTGTGGAGATAGCACTCTCATGGCTGCTTTGCAAGGCGGTACTTGGAGGTCTGAAATCGGACGAAACCTTGTGTTTGTTCGCATAAAGTGATTCTAGGCGGCAACGTGGGGAACCTTGTGTGTGCGATGGTTGCGGCTTACGTTCGGCGCGTCCCACATTGTAAAGTAGATTTCAGGTGTGATCGCAGTGGAACTGCTTTGTCAAGGTGATGCTTGAGGGTTTGAAATCGGACGAAGCCCTGTGTTGTCTCAAGCGACTCCAGGCAGCTGTCAACAGGAAGGGCTGTCAAGATTCAATGATGACAAGCGCAAACCGGATGGAGAGATAGTGGCATCATTAAAAAATGGAAACCGAGAGAAAACCATGTCAAGGAGGAAAAGACGTCCAGACAAACAGCAGGCAACAGGAAGGGCTGTCGAGATTCAGAGATGACAAGCGCAAACTGGATCAAGAGAAAGTGGCATCATCAGACAAGATGTCGAGAGCAAGACATGTCAAGGACAAAGAGTTCCAGGAAATCATGGAGTCAGGCGGCCAGGCGCCGTTCCTATGGGCTCTCCCTTTTCTTTATAGCCTTCCCGCCTTTCGAAACTTCCGTCACCCGGCTTGCCCGGGCTCTTCTGGTACACCAACTTAGCTGACTATGGGGCACCAACTTCTAACCTTATCAGCTTGGCTTTTAGGGGCCGTTCAACATCTCCACAGCGCATAGGCGGTGCAAATCGAGCTGTTGCCTCAACGTTTCGATGTGCCGTGCGAATCGTGGAACAGCTGCCATTGAACAAAACACCCCTACAACTGAGAAAATGTAGAAATGTCTGATGTCAAGTGTACATAGTGTATTCGCGCAGAGCGCGCAATTGCACGCATATTTCTCTTCTCATATCTTCTAAGTACCTATCCATACACTTGTCTATCCTTAGATGTACATATCTTAAGTCAAAATTAGTTACCCAATGGTTTGAAGCGAGGATATCCGCAGCATCTGGAACTTCATTCTCCAAGTTTGTCTTATCACTGTGTCCACACCTCATATTTTTTCAATGTTATCTGTGTGAATTTTATCATTCCCTCACCACAGCACCACAGTAGATGATGCTGGCTAGACATGGGTCTGTAGGAGTCGCCCGACCTTACTTCAGGTTCGTGAATTGCTCATGGGATGGGTTCAAAATCTGCAGGAGGCCATTGTTTTTTCGTGTTTTTTCCCACGGAAATATAGGGGTCCTGTGCATTTTCCCTTCAACGGGTCCACACAATGATGCTAGATTGAGTGACGCATTCTTTCTTTTAAAGAGGATAGCAACATCTTTCTTTTCGTGCAGCTTTGTTATTCTGGATCGCACCGGGCAAGCGCCGAGTTTCAAATTTTGCCGCTTTGGAATGCGTCATCCCGTTGAGACCGACACAGTCCCAAGGATGAGGCGTTTGATGACGTTTCCGCGTTTTTCCCCACCCAAAAAATATGGATTTGCGAGTGAACAGTTGCCACAGGATATATGCACGGGAATCTATTGGAATCTAATGTTAACCCAAGAGTAGTAAGCCACCAGTCCACTGTAAGGGACATCAACTTTGACAGTCGTTTGATGTCATTTGTCACTAGTTTATTTTTTGTGGTTACCCCCTTGATTTGATAGGGTGCATCGAAATTCCAGTCCATTCCCGCTGGAAGCGCTAAGACCACGCCAGTGGGGGGGTGGAGAGAGGAGCGGGTCAGAGTCATGGCCACCTCATGGCCATGATTCGGCCATGTGGTCGTTCCCCATGTGGGGTGCTGGAATGCGAGTCGCCCCAAAGATGTTCCAAAAAAATTAGAGCCTTGGGACCTGCATCAGCATGTTTGTATTTTTGTACTGGCAGATTTGCGGATATGCAACATGTTCTGACAAACCCGCATCTCTACATATATAATTAAATAATATTATATAATTATATATATGTATGTTTGCATATATATATTTTTTTTATTGCATACATACAGTTGCATACATGCATGCATGCACGGATTGATAAAAAGGTATAAATATATACATAGTTACAAAGATAATTAGATAGATAGATAGACAGATAGATAGATAGATAAATAGATAGACAGACAGATAGATAGATAGATAGATGCATGCAAGCATGCATCCATGCATACATACATACGTACACAGATACATGCAAAGATAGATGTATAGCTACATAGATACATAGTTGCATTGGTACATGGACACATAAATACAATATTATATACAGACATACGTACATGCATGCATACATGCATGCATACATCCATACAAGCATGCATGCATAGACATACATAGACATACATACAAGTACATAGACATACATACAAATACATAGACATACATACAAATTCAGAGACATAGATGCACATAGACATACATAGACATACATACAAATACAGAGAGATACATCTACATAGACATATATAGACGTACACAGACATACAGACACATACATACACATACATAGGCATACGTATACATACATGGACATACATAGGCATATAGAGACGTACCTATACATACATACACATACATACACATACACACATATAGATAAACAAATAAATATAATTATATATATATATACATACTTACACACAGACGCACTGTCACATGCATGCATGCACGCATGCCAAGATACATGCAGATTGTGCAAGGCTCTAATGAATGCTTTGGGCATGGTCAGTCAGTATGATGACAAGGCAAAAAGGCGGAAATACCCGGAATGTGCCGGAACTATCAGGAATAGGCCGGAAGTTGCCGAACACCCATTCGCTGCGCTGCTTGTTGTTTGTTACCTGCAGGTATAGAAAAAATAGGTTCTTCGAGTGATCCTCACCCTGAAACACTATTCTGACATAGTTTCTGACATACCATCTGGAAGATTCTTGAAGTATATATGGCATATTTATTCTGACTTTCTATCTGCCATTTTTTCTAGCATACTTTGACATTCAATCTGAAATTCTTTCTGTCTTTTCCGACATGCTTTCTGGCATTTTGGCATGTTTTCTTGCATCCTATCTGGAATGCATTCTGACATTCTATCTGGCATCTTTTCAGGCATCATTCTGGCATTCTTTCTGGCGTTTGTTCTGACATTCTCTCTGACATTCTTTCTGGCATTCTGTGTGTCATCTATTCTGATATTCTTTCTGGCATTCTATCTGACATGGCGTCTGGCTGAGGTCCGGCAGTGCCCACTGAGGTCTGGAGGTCGCGGTTGAGGTCCGTCAGTGCCCACTGAG